GCCAACAGCAAATGTTGCCCCGAACCAACATCGGGGGCGGCAAAGAGGGGGGTGATGACTACGGGGGGGTGGATCTCAGGGCGGAGCCAGGAGATCTTCCCAGATTTCATGGCGCCCCTTCTTATTTCATTACGTCCCTGGCCCCCCCGCTGGGCCGCGCACATGCCGCCGGTCATGATTTGCACCCCCCCCTCTTGGACACCCCCCTCTTGTCCGCTCCCGACAACAGCGGCCGCTGTTGGGCAGGCGGCCTTCTGTCTCAGATGGGCACAGGCCGCGGCGACACCGACCGCGGGTCCTGTTCAGAAGGAGCAGGGACTGCTGTCGGGCAGTGTACCCACTCTTCCCGTACCCATTTCGTTCGTGCCGACTCTCGCAGCTCGCGCCGCGCAGCCTGCGCCGCACAGAGGGCATCACGCCGCGGGCAAGCAAGGCGGGCCCGCCCCTCCACAGGAGCAGCCTCCAAAAATCGTCGAAAAGTAGTCTTGGGGCGATGTTCGGGGGCATGTTGTGCCTGTTTTCAGATATTGTTTGATTCTTCCCCACATTCTAAGTGGGGTTCTGATTTTCTCTACACCCGCGTCGCACCCGCGTTCACTCACCTCCCCTTCTCTACACCCGCGTCACACCTGCGTTCCCACCTCATCTCCTCCTTCTCGCTCACACACTCGCACACAGCCGCACGCATGCACACATTCGCACATACAAGACGCATGTTCACTGCATCATACACCCAAGACGTCTGCACGACATACTGGGCAACACGTGAGATATGTCCCGATATGGCCGCACACGCATCATACACATACACACGGCAAGCCATGCGGCAGGCGATCAGGCGTGGCACTTCCTCGACACCATAGGGGGTGCGCAGGGGGTGGTCTCTCACCGCGGCCGCTATGCACGACAGTCGTCCAGGCACAGCAGGCGTGGCACTTTCTCGACACCACAGGGGGTGCGCCCCCTGAGCGCGGCCGCTATCCGTGACACGCTCGCAGGGCGTGGCAGGCGCGCACTTTCTCGACACCACTGGGGGAGCGCAGAGGGTGGTCCCTCAGCGGGGCCTCTATCCGTGACACGCTCGCAGGGCGTGGCAGGCGCGGCACACATTCTCGACATCACATGGGGGTGCGCAGAGGGTGGTCCCTCAGTGCGGCCTCTATCAGAGACACGCTCGCAGAGCGTGGCAGGCGCGGCACTTTCTCGACACCACTGGGGGGGCGCAGAGGGTGGTCCCTCAGCGGGGCCTCTATCCGTGACACGCTCGCAGGGCGTGGCAGGCGCGGCACATTCTCGACACCACATGGGGGTGCGCAGAGGGTGGTCCCTCAGTGCGGCCTCTATCCGTGACACGCTCGCAGAGCGTGGCAGGCGCGGCACTTTCTCGACACCGCTGGGGGGGCGCAGGGGTTGGTCCCTCAGTGCGGCCTCTATCCGTGACACGCTCGCAGAGCGTGGCAGGCGCGGAACATTTTCGACACCACTGGGGGGGCGCAGGGGATGGTCCCTCAGCGCGGCGTCTACCCGTGACACGTTCGCAGGGCATGTCAGGAGTGGCATTTTCTGGGCACCACATGGGGGTGCGCAGAGGGTGGTCCCTCAGCGCAGCCTCTATCCGTGACGCGCTCGCAGATCGTGGTAGGAGCGGCACTTTCTCGACACCAGAGGGGGTGCGCAGAGGGTGGTCCCTCAGCGGGGCCTCTATCCGTGACACGCTCGCAGGGCGTGGCAGGCGCGGCACTTGGTCGACACCACTGGGGGGGCGCAAAGGGTGGTCCCTCAGCGGGGCCTCTATCCGTGACACGCTCGCAGGGCTTGGCAGGCGCGGCACATTCTCGACATCACATGGGGGTGCGCAGAGGGTGGTCCCTCAGTGTGGCCTCTATCCGTGACACGCTCGCAGAGCGTGGCAGGCGCGGCACTTTCTCGACGCCGCTGGGGGGGCGCAGAGGGTGGTCCCTCAACGGGGCCTCTATCCGTGACACGCTGGCAGGCGCGGCACATTCTCGACATCGCATGGGGGTGCGCAGAGGGTGGTCCCTCAGTGCGGCCTCTATCCGTGATACACTCGCAGGGGTGTGGCAGGAGTTGGGGGCGCTCTCTCTTTCAGGCTTCCAGGGCGCGTCAGGCGTAACAGTTCCTCGACGCCAGAGGGCGGCGCATGGGGTGGGGAGCTCCACAGATCGACATATGGGACACATGTCTTTGACCCTCGAGCATCCTGATATGTAACACATTGGCTCAAGCCGGCTCAGCGCGCATAGTTTTCCATTCAGACGCGCCCTGCTTCCGTATCTTAAAGCAGCAAGCGAATCCCTTGCGGTGTGCGGCACTGTATTCTTGAAGTACCATGGAGCAGACTCTGACCTATGTGTTGTGGAATTGCGGTCTCAAGACTGTAGTAGCTGTGGCATCCACATCTTCACGGAATTCTGCCACATGCGCTATCCACGTAGAGCAGCGATTTGTAGCTCAGCGCTTAGCGTCTGTGACTTTGCGGCTTACGCGACCTGCCAAATGCTCAACTACTATATTCGTTTTGTTGGCATTGCGGAGTGTGGCAGGTGCAGCTGTACAGCAATGCGTTAATGGTCCGAGAATCAATGTCGGGCGCATGCCCGGAGACTTTACGTCAAAGGGAAGCAGCTAACAACAAAACAATATCCCCGGAGATTTTTCGTCAAAGGGAAGCGCCGTGCCATAGACAATTCCGCCCACTGGGTCTTCGAAAAAGGAAGGGCGGAGGAGAGCGAGAAGGATAGGGGAACGCAGGATTGCGCATAGATGATAATGACACGCGGAAGCACCAGCCCCCCCATGACCGTGCCCAGCAAGGCGCCCACATGATAATGACAAGCAAACACGTAAGATTATATATCAGTATGTGGGGTTCCTCGGTAGCGTAATTGGTGTTTTTCATACAGAATCCGCCTGTGGGAGGACACGCCCGACCTAAAGATTGCATCACGCCGCTGGCACCACGCAGCTTGCACCCCTAAGCGCAATGCAACGCTTCGCGTCCACCATACAGACTGGCACACCTGGCTTGCACCACTATGGTATATCACGCTGCCTACTTCACACAGGTTGCGCCACTAATACTACAGCAAAATAACTGCACGACACAAGTTGCACCACCACAAATAACAAAGCATGCACTGTTTGGGGTCCACCCTAGCAACCACTAACTTCAGGATCGCAAGCGGATAAGAAGTCTTAAGCGAAACGCCCGGTCTAACGACACGTTTGGCGGTGCGGCAAGGGGGGTATTTGTGAAATGGGATGGAGGAGGAGGAGGAGGAGGAGGAGGAGGAGAAGGAGGAGGAGGAGAAGGAGGAGGAGGGGGAGGAGGAGGAGGGGAAGGCAAGCTAAGTGCGCTCGCGTCACATCTGACGTCCGACCCCTCCCTCCCATCCCTTACCATGGCGTAGCAATCCTCTCTGTTCGCATTGACGGATGTCGAGCAGGGCTATGATCGCGAGAGGGTACGCGATGTATGGTAGAGCCCGGCATGGCATGGCGAAGAAGAGCAGGGCGGACCATAGCATACCATAGCATGGCGTGGCATTGCGCAGTGAAGCATTGCATCACAAACCGTTGCAACGCAAAGCATGGCACAGCACAGCGGCGCAGAATACAACACCGCACAGCATGTCATGGCATGGTGCCAGGTTCTTTGGAGGGCAAGTGGATCGTCTTCGAGAGGTCTGGGCCAGTTTGGAGTCGTGGCTCTACGTCTAGTTCCACACAAGGCGGGCCTGATGGAGAGCACCCGCTGGTTCTGCTTCCAACATCGCCTTCTCAAAGAAGAAACGGGGCTCCCCCTTGATACTTCCTGAAAACGACGACGCCCCAAAGTGGGGGCGGGGCAGTCGGGCGGCTGCGGCCCAACAAACCAACGAATCGGCATCGAATGTGCAATCACTTCCGATGGTTTTTGTCGGAGGGGCATCTTTTAGATTTGGGGGCCTATTTGGAAGGAAGGCCGGCGCTACAGCAGAAGCACGATTCGGAACGAGCGGAAGCGCGGAAATAAGGCCAGCGTTGCAGCGGGAGCACGATTCGGAACGAGCGGAAGCCCGAAAATGAGGCCAGCATTTCAGCGGGAGCAACATTTTGAACGAAAAAATCAAGCGACATCCCTGCTCCTGGGAATAATGTGTGTAAGAGACAGTACGTGGAGGGGGCCGGCTATCTTCCGAACGTCATCAGGGGAGAGAGAAGAGTAGAATTCATTTTGAGTAGTTGTAGAAGGAGGAGGAGGAGGAGGAGGAGCAGGAGGAGGAGGGGGAGGGGGAGGGGGAGGAGGAGGAGGAGGTGAAGGAGGAGGAGGAGAAGAAGGAGGACGAGGAGGAGGAGGAAGGAGAGACGGAGGAAGAAGACTGAGAAGGACGACGGGAGGAGGAGGGGGCGGGGGTGGGGGGATAGGAGGAGGAGGAGCCAGAATGAGGAGGAAGAGGACGACGACAACGACGACGACGGCGACTAGGAGTGAAGGGCGAGAAGGAAAGCTTGGATGAGGGATGATAGGAAAATCCGAAGATCGACGACGACGACCACCACCACCACCACCACGATGAAGGGGAAAGGAGTAACAGGAGAGGTGGCGAAGGAACATTTCCCATGGGCGACGTCATCCCCCCTCCCCCTTTTTTCATCATCCCCCCCCTCCTCCCCCTTGTCCTTCCCATCCTCCTCGTCCCCCTCCCCATTGCCTCCCTCACTCCCGCGAACGGGGGGTGAGGGGGGGAGAAGGGGCGGCAGGAAAAGGGAGGACGACCACGACGACGACGACGACGACGATGACGACGACGACGACGACGACGACGACGAGGGCGACGAGGAGAGATAAGACGGGAGAAGGGCGAGGGCGAGGAGGGAGGGGAAGGGATGATGAGGTCCGAGGTCCTTCCTCTGCCCCCCCCCCGCCGGGAGAGGCTCCAGGGCGCGCAGGGGGAAGCGCGGCCCCCCGGCGCAGCCCGTTCTGGCTCGGGCCGCAGGCCGCGGACGCCGGGGGCCGCGATGGCGGGCGGGGCCTCCGACGAGCTGCTGGAGCTGGTGGGCGGCGGCTGCGGCGGAGGCGCTGGGCCCACAGAAGCAGGGGGCCCGAGGGACGAGGAGGAGGAGGAGGAGGAGGAGGAGAAGGAGGAGGAGGAGGAGGAGCAGGAGGAGGAGGACGACGAGGACGACGAGGACGACGAGGACGACGAGGACGACGAGGACGACGAGGAGGAGGACGAGGAGGACGACGAGGAGGGGGAGGGGGAGGAGGGGGAGGAGGAGGAGGAGGAGGAGGAGGAGGAGGAGGAGGAGGAGGAGGAGGAGGAGGAGGAGGGGGAGGGGGGGAAGAGGGACGGGGAGGAGGAGGAGGAGGAGGAGGAGGAGGAGGGGAAGCAGGGGGAGGACCATCACATGCTGAAGAGGAAGGCTAGGGTTAGGCCGACCCGACCCTAACCGAAACCTTGGGATTACATCCGTTCTCCCCTTACGCCCTTCTTCGACCCTACATCGCCGCCCCTTCCTTGAGGAGCTGGGCTGCAGGGAGTGGCTGGGAAAGTCGGGGGCGGGCCTTCATACTTTCCTTCGAATGACGCCCGTCTGACACCCGAGACCACGCACCTTCAGAGAACTTGCTTCTGAAGCGCTCACTGCATTCACCTCTGAGTCCTTTGAGGTTGCTCCCCGAATAACGGCCGCACCTCTTGCAGATTATGAGGAAGGACTTGACATCGAGGTAATCGCAAATCAACAGTCGGTGTTTCCTGGGCTCTCTAATTAACTGGGACAGCGCTGCAGAATTGCCAGGGCACGCTTCTCGCGAACGGGTTTGGCGGGTGCTATCAGTGCGGGCACGAGTGTGACACGCTAAGCACAGCCAGTGGTTGTTGATCCAGCCCCACTGGTGGAGAGCCAAAACCTGAAGGTTACGGCGGGCCGCACGGGCCTGCCGAGGAAAACCCTCAGGGGGCTGAGGGGGCGGGGTCCAGTCTTTGACCGCACCCGCGGCTCCGACAGGGGGGTTGAGGCTCTGTGGAGGCTTCTCGTAGGCCTTTTTCCCCGTCTTTCGGGCGAGGGCCTGCCACAAGGAGAGCGCCTCCGCTGCATACTTCAAAAATCTCAGTACTCTACTGCGGGTTTCTTTATAATATTCAATATCCATCTGGGACGGGGCGGGAATCTGGGCAGCAGCTAGTTTGGCAACCCGATCCGCCCAGTCGTTTCCTTTGGCTACAAACCAGTCCCTCGAGCCAGCCTCCAGGGTCGAGAGATCCTGGTGGGCCTTTATTTTGGCTATCTCGAGGGACCTGAGACTGTCCTGGGCCCTGGCCAAGACAGACACTCCTGCATACATTTCTGTCCTACTAATTTCGGGGCTCTGGTGAACCGAGAGGGTGCCTTTAAAGTCGGTCCACGCTTTAGTGTCTCTTGGGCAGGAGACGGCAGCCAGAAATCCGAAATGCTCGGCAGCGGGCGACGTGGGGGGAAGACTGGCCCCCACGGGCCCCGAAAGACAGGCAACTAGGTCGCCCTCCTCGTCGGTTTTAACCACGGACCAGGCAGGGGCGTCAAAGACCGTAGGGCCAGGTTTTAAAACATTGCCGTCGTGGAAAACTTCGCCTTGCGACCAATACACTGCTTGCTCTAGTTCTAATCCTGGGGGCCTCAGAGCAATTGGTTCAGATCGAAGCTGGAACCCCAAGACGTACGGGAAACCTCTCCTCTGATCCTTGAGCTCCTCCACGTCCCCCTCCTGCAACATCTCCTCTCTCAAGTTGCTGGTCCGCGGGCATTCGAAGAGCCTGTGGGGGAGGGGGTCCTCGGGGCCTCGGCGCAACTCGCAACTGACTTATTCCTCGTAGCCTGCCTCGGCTATCCTACTTTTTGTCCAAATACACTGGCATCCGTAGGACAGCAAGGTCTTGCGCTTGTGCCCCTGGATACTGTCATCTTGCAGCGCGTGCTGCATGAGCGACGGGCCCAGCGGCTCGTCGAGACCTAACTTCGCGCTGGCCTTCAAATCGAGCTGCTACTGCCACTGGGATTGACAAAAGCTTCTTGATTAAGGCTGGGGAGGTCGTGATGAGTGGGTAATCCTGACCGCTGGCATCCTTGAACACAAACGGGTCGGGCATAGTCCATCCAAGAAGCCCCAAGCTGAGGATCGTGGCCCCGAGAGGCCCTCTAATCTGGAGCCACTTCGTCGGGGGGTTGCTGAGGACCTCCAGGGCCTGAGTGCGAAGTTCAGGAAGCGTAAAGCTGGCAGTCCCAGGTAGATGAGCAACCGTCCAGATCAGATTGGCCCAATAGCAGGCCGGTCCCAGAGCGGCACTCCAGGTCGGATCCCCGAGAACCGACAGCGCCAAAGACCTGGATCTGGCAGCACATCTGGGTCCTACGATCTTGAGGTACAGGGATTGGGCCTCTTGCACCTCGGGGTTGGTGAGACCGACCACCTTTGCTCCGTAGTAGGCGGCCGCCTTCAGCCTTGTCTGGTAAATCTTACGCATATTTGCACCTGCTCTCCTAATCTGCGCCAAACGGTGGAGACGACGTTTCATTTTTGTCAATCGCTTTCCGAGGATCGTGCGTGACTTTTTGCTGAGCCTGTTCCCCATGGTAAAATCTACTCCGAGGTTTGGCGCAGACTGTGCTTGGCGGACACCATCGGGTCCACTGTACTTGCCTAGGGCCTTCGCCAGTCTCTGCTGCACCACTGCTGACGAACCCAACACCGCCGCCTTGTGCAGCGCGATCGAGCAATCGAGGTCCTCCTCGATTAAATCTAGCATGCTGTCGGCGGCATGCGCCAAGTCCGACACCAGGAGTCTGACACTAGCGTTGCTGCTGGCCAACATGAAGTCATCTATGAAGATGGAGGGGTCCACTGTGGGGAATTTCGGGGCCCAGGAGTCCATGGGGGGCACTGTGTACTAGAAGCAGGATGGGGAGGAGGAGGAGGAGGAGGAGGAGGAGGAAAAAGAGGAATGGGACAATAGGAGAATAGGAGGAGGAGGACGAGGAGGAGGAGGAGGAGGAGGAAGAAGAGGAGGAGGAGGAGGAGGGAGGAGGAGGAGGAGAAGGAAGAGAAAGAGGAGGAGAGGAGGAGGAAGGAGGAGGAGGAGGAGAGGAGAGGAGGAGGAGGAGGAGGAGGGGGAGGAGGAGGAGGAGGAGGAGGAGGAGGAGGTAAGGAGGGAGGGAGGGAGGGAGGGAGGGAGGGAGGGAGGAGGGGGGGGAGGGAGGGAGGAGGGAGGGAGGGAGGAGGGGGGGAGGAGGGAGGAGGAGGAGGAGGAGGAGGCGGAGGAGGAGGGAGGAGGAGGAGGAGGAGGAGGAGGAGGAGAAGGAGAGGAGGAGGAGGGGAGGAGAGGGAGGAGGGAGGGAGGAGGGAGGGAGGAGGGAGGGAGGGAGGAGGGAGGAGAGGGGAGGGAGGGAGGGAGGGAGGGAGGGAGGGAGGGGGAGGGAGGGAGGGGGGAGGGAGGGAGGAGGAGGAGGAGGAGGAGGAGGAGGAGGAGGAGGAGGAGGAGGAGGAGGAGGAGGAGGGAGGGAGGGAGGGAGGGAGGGAGGGAGGAAGGGAGGGAGGGGGATCAGGAGCAGGCGCAGGAGGAGGAGCGGCGTGCCTGCTCGACGACCACGACCAGACTCGGCAGGGGGCCCGACGCGACTGTGTGACACCGGCAGCAGTGCTGACACAGAAGGTGGCCGTGGCGCAAATGACACTCACCAAGGCAACACACAGGACGACCGCGCAGCAGGACCGGCAGCATCCAATTTGGAAACGGCGCACGCACCCAAACGACGGCGACGCGCGCCATCGCGAGCGGTTTGAAGGCGAGCTTTTGCAGGGCCCCACCCCGCCCCACCCCCCAGAGCGCCCCGCCCACGGGGGCCCCGCTCTGGGCGGGGCTGCGCGCTCGCTCGCTCGTTCGCGCTACCGCTTCTCCCGCCTCCGCTGGCCCCGGCCCCGCACGCAAAAAATCAGCGGCGAGCAATGAGGGGAGGTGAGAAGGAGAAGGCCTCCTCTGAAGGCGGCGGGACCTCTCACAAGCCCCTCGCGCCCTCTGAGAGGCATCCTGCGTCTTCGGGTAAGGCTCAGATAATTAGTCAGAAGACTGGGGAAGCCTCCCAGCCGTCTGAGAAGGCCCGCCCCCTCCCGCTTCTCCCCTCTGGCGCGCCGCCCAGGAAAGGTCGTCAAGCCGCAGGAGGAGTTCATCAAGGTGGACTTCGACGAGAGCGGCGCGGTGCCTCTAGGCCGACCTCCGAAGGAGACGGCGGGGCTTGCGCACTCGCGCCTGGGGAGCGTTTTCCCTCTTGCTGCTGCTCCCCGTGCTCTCTCGGAGTCCTGCTTACTGGCGCCACTCCACCGACCCCCAGACGTGGGCACAAGAAAGGGGAGGAATACACCGAGCGGAGGCTCCTTGAATGATGTGAGGGGCAGGGAGGCATGGGCCTCGAAGGACCGACCGCCCATCCATCCTGCTGATGTCCCTCCTCCTCCTCCTCCTCCTCCTCCTCCTCCTCCTCCTCCTCCTCCTCCTCCTCGTCCTCCTCCCCCTCCTCCTCATCCTCCGCGTTCTCATCCTCATCCTCCTCATCCTCATCCTCCATCTCTCCTCCTCCTCCTGAAGTCTTGAAGGCAAGAAGGTCTGTCAGACGTTGCCATCCGTCCCCTCCTCCTCCTCCTCCTCTCCCTCCCTCTCCTCCTCCTCCTCCTCCTCCTCCTCCTCCTCCTCCTCCTCCTCCTGCCGCTGCACGCGCACACAGGCGCGTCCTCGCCAGCCGCGCACGCGAAGCAGCGCGCCCTCCGCGGGGGCGGGCCGTCCCAGGCACCAAGGGCAGCCAGGGCACGTGGCAACGGCTCATGTCGTTCCGGCGATCGCAAACATGGATTAATCGGAGGTTGATAGACTTCCTACCTTGACACGTCGATTAAGGAATTGGCCGTTTTCGGTTCGCGAGGGGGCGTCACGGCCGTCACTTTTGCGGGTCCAGGTCCGTCGGTTTCGGTCCCAGGCCGCTTTCACTAAGGGGAGGTTTACTAAAGGGAGGTTTGTCCACCGTCGAATTAGAGGGGCGTGGATTAGCGACGGGTCCCGTTTCCATGGGGAATCGCTGATTCCCGCCGCCGAACGAGGCGGCAGCGGCCGCATTTTGGGGAGGGCACCTCCCCTGATCCACGGATTTGGCGACTGAGCACCAAATCCGTAGATCGCTAATCCATGTTTGCGCGCCCCCGAGTAGTCATGTAGACCACGACCTCCTCCGCCGTATCCCATTGGGGTAGGTGGGCCACTGGCGACGAGGGAGGGGGCCGCTCGTCGTCATAGCGTCGGAGGACAGCGCGAGGGGGAGAGGAGCGTCGCCGTAGCCTCTAGGGGAAGCAGTGCAACCGTTGACGTCGTAGGTCACTCCACCCCCCCGTGAAAGGTAGCCTCAGAAAAAACTGAGGTTTGCTGTGCCTATGATGCCGGCAGCGTGCATCTTGTAGACAGCGGTGAAGGAGCACAAGAAGCCGTTAGTTTCAGCGTTTTCATTTTTGTCATGAAGATCTCCAGATTGGTCTTCGGGGGGCGATTTGTGTTCGGATCTGGAAGGCGCTGAAGCGTACGGAGGATCTCTTCGCACGTGCGGGAGTACAACTCGTAGGCGTCTACGGCCTGGCCTGCGCCGTCGCACTTGTCTCCTTCGTATCCACGGCCTGGAAAATTTTGGAGCGAGTGATCTCAGGCCCAGCCGGTAGCCTATTTCGGGCGAAGAGATCTATGCACATGCACCGGTCCTGGCCAGGCCCATCCTTGGCCCCAGGATCGGTGCATATGCCTTCCTGGCCAAGGCAGGAGGGCGTATGCACCGATCTTGGGCTCAGGATGGACCTGGCCAAAATCGGTATATGCGCATGGTTATTTTTCATATACTATTGCAAAGTTCTGCCTCGTGCCCTCGTAGCCCTGCGAGTTTTAGCTCTCGGGCGCGGAGCTCTGCTCGTGCCTCCCGGCAGTTGGGGGCTGCTTGTGCGGCCCCCCACCGCGCGAGCTCCCCGTGGTGGCCGTCGCAGCTATACTTACAGCCGTCGTAGTTCTGCTGGTGGCCGGCGCCGCTCTGCTCGTGGTCCGCGTGGCTCTGCTGGTGGCCGTCGTAGCGCTGTTCGTGGTCCGCGTTGCCCAGCTTCTGGTCCGCGAAGCTCTGCTGGTGGCCGCAGTAGCTCTGCTTGCGACCGTCGCAACTCTGCTCGTGGCCCTCGTGGCTCTGCTCGTGGTCCGCGTAGCCCTGCTGGCGGCCGTCGTGGCTCTGCTTGTGGCCCTCGTGGCACTGCTGGCGGCCCTCGTAGCTCTGCTTGTGGCCGCCGTAGTCTGGCTTGTTTTTTGGCCCTCGTAGCTCTGCCGGTGGCCGTCGTAGTTCTTCCGGTAGCCGCAGTAGCTCTGCTGGTGGTCCGCGTAGCTCTGCTGGTAGCCGTCGTAGCTCTGCTCGGGTCCCTCGTGGCACTGCTGGTGGTCCGCGTAGCTCTTCTGGTGGCCGGTGTAGCTCTTCTGGTGGCCGGCGTAGCTCTGCTTGTGGTCCACGTTGCTCCTCTCGTGGTCCGCGCAGCTCTGCTGGTGGCCGTCGCAGCTCTGCTCGTGGCCCTCGTGGCGCTGCTGGTGGTCCGCGTAGCTCTGCCAGCGGCCGTCGTAGTCCGGCTTGGGGCCCTCGTATGTCTGCAGGTTGCTGTCGTAGCTCTGCTTGTGCTGCGCGTTGTTCTGCTTGAGGTCCGCGTTGCTCCTCTCGTGGTCCGCGTAGCTCTGCTGGTGGCCGTCGTAGCTCTGCTGGTGGCCGTCGTAGCGCTGCTGGTAGTCCGTGGCGGGCAGCACCGGGGGGAGCACGAGGCTGGATTGCCCGAGGTCGTACTGAATGGTGCCATAGTCCTCGCTGTCGTCGAACAACGAGTATCGGGAAAGCCGACTCGTACGAACTCGGTATAATACTTGTTGAACTTGAACTTGCTGCTGGCGGCCGCACCACTCGTGATCCAACATTGTCGTATGAGGATGGCCAGGTCCTTCGCTGTGGAGTTGCCCTTGCAGGCCGCGTAGGCCAACCTACGGTAGGCAGCTGCCTCAAGATTGCGGTCTTCGCGGCCTCGAGGAACACGGGGAAGTCTCGGATGGAATTGTTAATCTCGTAGTTAATTCATATTGGTGCCATACCTGAGTAGTAAGAGGCCACTCCAAGGCCTGACCAAACCTTGAAGGAGGTGTACCCGCGGTTAACGATGTCCTGGGTGTTCTTGTAAAGTTCGGTAAGGATGATCAAGTACAAGAGGTATTTGATGATCAGAGTGTTGTGAATCTGGTACAGCGAGTTCGGAGTGAAGAAGTACAGGAACCTGTACCTCTTCCTCGCGGGCGTATAACGCCGAGCTGGGCGCTGCCCAGCCAGGGCGGGGGGGGCGTGTCCCTCCCCAGTGCCTCGGCCAAGCGCCTCCTCCTCCTCCTCCTCTCCTCCTCCTCCCTCCTCCTCCTCACCTCCCCCCCTCCTCCCCCCCTCCCCCTCCCCCCTCCCCCTCCCCCTCCTCCTGCCCCTCCTCCATACTTATCCACGCAGTCTGGCACAGGGTGGCCCGCGAGAGCTCTGCCGCGGTGCGCCCTTCAGCTCGCCCGCTGGCGGGCGAGGCTGGTGCAGGGATGAAGTCGCTCGAGCGCGCTCCGGAGCGCCCTCCGAGCGCTCGGGAGCGCTCTGCGAAGGCCGCGGCGCCCAGCACATCCTCCAGAGCCGACGCATCTCAGAGATCCGTCCGACGCATCCCTGTCCGATGTCGTCCTCGTCCTGAGCTGAAGTCGGGCCTGTCCCACTACAGGAGGACGATTCAAAAAAGGTCAAAAAATAGTCTGGGGACGATGTTGTGAGCACTTGTTGACTCCGGGCTGGACAGACCTCCTACCCTGACACGTCGATTAAGGAATTGGCGTCGGTTCGCGAGAGGGCGTCGCGGCCGTCATTTTTGCGGGTCCAGGTCCGTCGGTTTCGGTCCCAGGCCGTTTTCACTAAGGGGAGGTCTACTAAAGGGAGGTTTGTCCACCGCCGATTGACCATCTTTGAGCATTTGTTGCCTACTTTTTAACTGTTCCTCGAAGGTCCCCCTGTGGGGGGGTGACTGGCCCGACTTAATCCTGAGCTCGCCCTGCGCTCTGTGCGCCGCCCCCATTCCAGCCAGCCCGGGATCGGCGGCGCGCGAGGGGGGGGAAGCGCGGAGGAGAAGGCCTTCCCAGAAGTCCTGGGAGCCCCCTCCCGGGCCTGCTGGCAAGTCTTCGGAGCCTTCTCGGCGACTACAAGGGGTGTGGTTACGCCGGGGTGTTGTTTGCGATCGGCGCCGTTGGGGCATTGGGGGCACGACACTGTCCTCGTCGGGCCGCCTCGGAGCGCAGCGGAGAACACTATCGAGGTCCCCGCCCGGCCCCCACGGTGCTCCCCAGGGTGCCCTTTGCAAACCACACCCTTTGCAAACCACACCCTTCGGAGTCGCCGACCTTCCCCGAGGGCGGAAGAGAAGCTTCGCAGAGGGCGCGAGGGCTTCTGCGAAGTCCCGCCGCCCTCTGAGCGAAAGCCCGCGCCCCAGGCAGGCGAGCAAGGGCAGCCGCGCCCTGCGACGGGAAGCTGTTCGATGCAGTTCGCTCGCATAGGATCCACAGACCACTGCAATGTGGATTTTCAAGGGCGCCCTCGAGGGCGCGAAGTTATTCGCGCTTCGCGGTCCTTCTCCCCCTCCTCCTCGTCCTCCTTTTCTCCCTCTGAGGTGGCGGCGCGAGAGCGCGAAGCTATTCGCGCTCTCGCGCTTCGCGGAGCGCGAGAGCGCGAAAGCGCGAAGTTGGGAGCCCTTGATTTTTGTTATCCCCCAGGGTCGCTGGATGATGGAAAAGCTTACTTCCGTTAAGTCGGGCCTGTCCCCCTACAGGGGGATTTTCGACGAACAAAAGAAGGCGCAAAAAAATAGTCCAAAAATAGTCTGGGGACAATGTTTTGAGTATTTGTTGACCTTTTTGGGGTATTTTGGGGGTTACTTTTGATCTTTCCTCGAAAATCCCCCTGTGTTGGGGGACAGGCCCGACATAACCCTTCCCCCCCCCTCGCTCGCCGCCGACAGGAGGCCTCTGCCGGCAAGGGCAAGGGCAAGGGCAGGGGCAAAGGCAGGCCGCCCGAGCCCACGCCGCGGCGGCACCGGGTGGGCGAGGCGCTGCTGAAGTTCCGCCGGCCTGGCCAGGAGACGAAGGCCAGGAGGGAGAAAAAAGGGAGAAACAAAAAAATATAAAAATGAGAAAAACAATATATATATATATATATAAAGAAAAAGGAAAAATGCACGGGCACAAAGACTGAAACCCAGGAAAGGTGGGAAAGACTTGCAATCTCTTGGGATCTGTGGTGCCTCTTTCTGTGTGTGTCCCTGGGCCCCTCCAGAAGGCCGCGGGGACAGAGACGCACACCCAGGAAAGGTGGGAAAGGTCTGCAGTCTCCTGGGATCTGTGCCTCTCTCTCTCTCTGTGTCCCCCGACCCCAGAGGGCCGCGGGCAGGAGCAGGCCGGCCGGGGCGACGACGCCGCGCGGGGGCCTCGAGACGCGGGCCCCGGTGCAAGCCGGGGCTCGGCCAGAGCGCCGGGGAGCCTGCAGGGTCCTGCAGGGCTGGGGGCCGACCCCTCCTCCTCCTCCTCCTCCTCCTCCTCCTCCTCCTCCTCCTCCTCCTCCTCCTCCTCCTCCTCCTCCTCCTCCTCCTCCTCCTCCTCCCCCTCCTCCTCCCCCTCCTCCTCCTTGGGGCCTGCGCGCGCGCGGGACCCCGCAGGAGCTTTGCCCTGGCAGGCTCTCGCGGGGTCCTGCGAGGCCGGGCTCGCCCGGGCCCGCACCGGCCCGAGCCAGCGCGTCCCCGAGGCTCTCTCTCTGGGCCTCCCCAATGCAGGAGGGAGAAAAAACGCACAGACACAAATAATCGACGATGTCCCAGAGAAAATATGGGAAAAGATGGGAAGTGGGGGGAAAGACAAAAACCCAGAAAGTACGGGGAAATAGGGGGAATCCTGTTGTTTGTGTGTGTGTGTTCATTTGTGTGTCCCAGGGCCCCTTAACAAATGGGGTCCGAGCAGATTCGGCACGAACGACATGGGTGCGGAAAGAAGGGGTACAACGCCCAACAGCGGTTCCTGTTCATCTTGAACAGGACTCGCTGTCGGTGTCGCCGCGGCCTGTGTGCATTTGAGACAGAAGGCCGCCTGCCCAGCAGCGGCCGCGGTTGGTTTGGGACAGCGTTCGCTGTTGGGCACTGCCAGTTTCTTTCGTACCCATTTCGGGCGTCCAGATAGAGGGGGCCAGAGGATCTCGCCGCATCGCCGATGCATCGGCGATGCTCCTCGGTGTGGAGCCCGATCTGCTTCGCGTCGACGTCGGGCCAGCAGCCCGATGCCGCGGAGCTCCTGGGGGCCCCTCTGGGCCCTCCGGAGACCTCCGGGCGCCCAGAGACCTCCGGGGCGTCGAGGCACCGCGCTGGCGGCGCTCTCCGGGTCGCTCCGGGGGGCCTCGGGACCCCCAACAAATATCGGGCCGAGCGAAAGGGCGGGGGGATGGGGAAAGGGGGGGTTGCGAAGTCTGCTGCAGGCAGCTGGCTTCGGCCCCGCCGCCGGACGCATCTCTCGATGCATGGGCGCCTCCCAGCGCCGGGAGGCCCCCCTTTCGCCCGGCCCGAAAATACGGGAGTCCAGGGGCAAGGATTGTCTGCAGCCTCGGCCGTGGACTCTTCAGGAGGGGAAAAAACACACAGACACAATTAATCGTCGATCCCCAAGAAAATATGGGGAAAAATCAGAAAACCCCAGAAAATATAGGGAAAAAGGGAATATTGTTATTTGTGTATATTTATTTGTGTGTCCCAGGGCCCCTTCACATACGGCCATCTGCCGCCGCAGCTAGTCAGCCAACTGCGGTGAGCACACGAGGCTTAATTACAGGCGGGTGCCCTTGCCTCGTGGGCGGGCTCCTCACCCGGAAGTGCTCTTCGTTTTTTGGGGCACCGGCATTGGGCACTGGGCCTTCGGCCTGAGTGGGCTCGTGCTCTTGACGCGCGTCCTTGCGGCCATGGTGCTATTCCGCGCGCTCTTGCGGCCATGGTTCAGTCGGGCCTGTCCCCCTACAGGGGGATTTTCGACGAAACAAACAAAAAAAAAAACTCAAAAAGTATTTAAAAAATAGTCCCCAGACTAGTTTTGATTATTTTTGTGGTACTTTTTATGTTTCGTCGAAAATCCCCCTGCAGGGGGACAGGCCCGACTTGAGGCCATGGTTCTGCTGCACGCTTCCACACAGACCTCCGTCCCCGGGAAGAGGCCCACAGGTCCACAGGCCAGTGGTTGGCCTCCCGGCACGCCCAGGAGCCAGACCCCGCTGGGGCGGAGGCCTCCAGGATCGCGCTTCGAGTCGGTTCTCGCCCTCGCTGCGAGGCCGTACCATCAAGTCGGGCGTGTCCCCCTCCCTACAGGGGGATTTTCGACGAGAAAAAAAAACTAAAAATACCCCAAGAAGATCAACAAATATTTAAAAAATAGTCCCCTGACTATTTTTATATTATTTTTTGATTATACGGGGGGAACTTTATATTTTTCGTCGAAAATCCCCCTGTAGGGGGACAGGCCCGACTTGACCGTACCAATCGGATCGGACGAAAGGGGGGGATGGGGAAAGGGGGGGTTACGAAATCTGCTGCATGCAGCTGGTTTCGGCCCCACCGAGGGGCCCATTCCTCGATACATGGCCGCCTCCCGGCGCCGGGAGGCGCCGGGAAGATCAGCTACGTGAGCTGATTCTCGAACCCCCCCTTGGCTATCCCCCCCTTTCGCCCGACCCGAACCACGTCGTGCGCACCAGCCACCCGCGTTCGGTCATCCTCTCCGTCTTGGCGCCGCGTTCTGGCACGGGTCGGTAGGGAGGGAGCCCAGGAGCGGGGGGGCATGGTTCAGGAGGAGAAAAAACACACAGACACAATTAATCGTCGACTCCCAAGGAAATATGGGAAAATATGGGAAGTGGGGGGGAAGACAAAAACCCAGAAAATACAAGAAAATATGGAGAATCCTGTTTTTTGTGTGTGTGTATTTATTTGTGTGTCCCAGGGCCCCCTCATTCTGGCACGGGCCGGTAGGGAGGGAGCCCAGGAGCGGAGGGGCAGGGTGCTCACCGCCGCAGGTCAGGGTGAAGGACGACCTCAAGCTGGGCGGCAGGGTGAAGCGCGCGCAGAAGCACGAGCGCGAGGCCCTGCACCGCCTGGTCAAGGGCGAGGTGCTGCAGACGACGGAGGCGGGCTCCCTGGAGGTGGACGGCGAGCTCGAGCACACCTCGAAGCTGGCCCAGGCCGACATCGTCAGGGAGGCCACCAGCGGCGTGGCCAAGAAGCGGTTCTCGTTCGACCTGCCCCTCGGGCCCTACCGCTGCGCGTTTACCGCCAACGGGCAGCATGTGCTCGCCGCAGGGCGCAAGGGGCACGTTGCGATGGTGCACTGCGAGACCATGGGCATCGTCGCTGAGCTGCAGCTGAAGGAAACGGTACGTGCAGTGCAGCCGTTTCACAACCACACACTCTTTGCCGTCGCGCAGAAGAAATACGCGTACATATACGACCACAACGGGGTCGAGATACACTGTCTGAAGGACACGAAGTATCCTACTCACATGGACTTCCTCAGGTTCCACTACCTCCTGGTGACCGGGGGGGAGCTGGCCGACCTCCGGTACCGCGACGTCTCGACCGGCCAGGAGGTGTGTGCGCACAAGACGCGGCTGGGCCCCATCAGGAGCATGAGGCAGAATCCCACCAACGCCGTCATGCACGTCGGTCACTCGAACGGCTGTGTCACGATGTGGACGCCGAACGTGAAGGCGCCCATTGTGAAGTTGCTCTGTCACCCTGGCCACGTGACCGGGCTGGCCGTCAGGGGCAACAACATGGTCACCGCTGGGGCCGACGGCTACTGGAAGGTCTGGGACCTTCGAAAGTACGAGGAGGTCCACGCCTGGAGGTCCTTCGGCCACCCCGTCGAGGACATCGACATCTCCGCCACTGGGCTGGTGGCCCTGGGCTTCGGGCCGCGCGTGGAGGTCTGGAAGGACGTGCTGGGGTTGGCCAGGCCGAGCAAGCCCTACCTGACGGAGCTGCACCCTGGCCGGCTGGTGGGCAGCGTGCGGTTCCGGCCCTACGAGGACGTGTGTGGCGTCGGTCACTCCGCCGGCTTCGCCAGCATGATCGTTCCTGGCGCGGGCATGGCAAACTTTGACACTCTGGCAGAGAACCCCTTCGAGACAAAGAGGCAGCGGCGGGAGAAGGAGGTGCACAGCCTGCTTGAGAAGCTGCAGCCAGACTCCATCATGTTGGACGCCTCTCGCATTGGCAGCCTCGACAAGGCCAAGGTGAAGGAGTACATGGACGACAGCAAGCGGAGGCAGGAGGAGGAGGCCTCGAAGGGCACGAAGGAGAAGAAGAAGATGCGCGGGAAGCAGAAGATCGGCAACCGCATGAAGCGGAAGCAGCTGAAGCAGGGCAAGTGGCAGCGGGTCAAGACCGAGTCGCGCCTGCAGGACGAGGCCGAGGGCTCGGACGGCGACGGCGGCGAGGGCGGCGACGCCGCCGGCGGCGCCGCGGCCGGCGAGGCGGCGGGCCCCGGCAGGGGCGCCGAGGCCGCCGCGGAGGGCCTCGGGGCCGTGCCCGGGGCCGCGCTGCGGCGCTTCGCCGGCAAGCGGCGGAGGAGGACGTGAGGGCGCCCGTCCGCCGCCGGGCAGCGGGGTCCTCATTGGTCAGGAGGGGGAAAAAACACAGACACAGTTCATCGGCGATTCCCCAGAAAGTATGGGAAAATATGGGAAGTGGGGGGGGGAGACAAAAGCCCAGAAAATGTGGGAAAATATATGGAATCCTGTTATTTGTGTCTATTTATTTGTGTGTCCCAGGGCCCCTTTCATTGGGCGCCCGCGGGAGCTCGAGGCGCCGAGGAGGACGAATGGACCAGTCAAGCAGTGGCGAAGCGTCCTGGCGTGCCGATTGGCCTACCAAAGAGTGTTCTAAGAACATTTTGTGGTTTCTACAACATAACCTTCGAGCATTGCTGGCTGGGACTGTCTTGTTTTAACACATCGGGCTCATTTCTAAGAACATTGATCGTGCTCTTAGAACATGTCTGGGTTCTAAGAACGTTTCGTGATAGGCATATAGAAATGCCGGGACGGTCGGTCCCTGCTCAATACACGTAAGTCGGGCATGTCCCTCTACAGGAGGAGTATTCAAAAATGTTCCTGGCAAAGGGCCCCACCACCTGCAATTAAGGGGCACCGCATGATGAATACAGCTTGCGGTGGAGCTCCCTGTGGGGCCACGAAGTGTGTGAGGGGTGCGCCGAAATGGGGCGGGGTCGCCATGAGAACCCTGCCACTGGGGCCTTCGGTGGAGCTCGCTATGGGGCCACGGAACGTCTGAGGGGTGCGTTGAAATAGGGCGGGGCTTTCATGCGAACTTGGCCACTGGGGCCTTCGGTGAAGCTCCCTATGGAGCCACAAACCGTGGGAAGGGTGTGCCGACTTGGGCGCGGTGGTGCCATGCGAACCCTCCCACTGGGGCCTTCGGTGAAATTTCCTATGGAGCCACGAACCGTGGGAGGGGTGTGCCGACTTGAGCGCGGTGTTGCCACGCGAACCCTCCCACTGGGGCCTTCGGTGGAGCTCCCTGTGGGGCCACGAACCGTGTGAGGGGCGCACCGAAATCAAAGGCGAGGGACGCATGTAAACCATGCCGCTGGGGCCCTCAATGGAGCTTCCTGTGGGGCCACGAACTGTGTGAGCGGTGTGCCGAGGTGCGGTAATGGCGGCGGCGATGATGACGATGATGGTAATGATGACGGCGATGCTTGTGGTGGTGATGATGATGATGATGATGATGATGATGATGATGATGATGATGATGATGATGATGATGATGATGATGATGATGAGGACATGCGGAGCGCACAGGGCAGAGCCAAGGATGGGAAGAGGGAGAATGCGGGAGGAAGGAGGCGGGAGAACGCGAGGCGCTGTCGAAATGGGGCGGGGCGGGCCGCCATGCGAACCCTGCCACTGGGCAGCTGGCGGAATCCGCGAAGCCTCTCTTTGCATGCCATCTCACTCTCCTCCATCATCCTCCCTCTCATCATCTACCAGACGAGCTTACAACACGGCCAGTACCCGCAGGGGGCCCGCCGAATTCAATCGCTTCGCTCATTCCGCCAGCCCACATTCTATCAGTGGTGCTATATGTTGGTGTGCTCGTTGCGAGCAATGAAGGGAGGATGAGGAAGATGGGAGAAGGAGTATGAGGCTCCTCTGTGGCTTATTGGGGCACTTTTGGGGCCGAACTGGGTCGTAGACACTCGGGGGGCTTCTTGGGGTCTCTTAGGAGGCCTCTCGGCAGCCTCGTAGTTTTATGTGTGGGAGGGCCTCTTCTTCGCGCGGTCTTTTGCGCCTCCAAGGGCCTGCTGGCGGTCTCGGGAACCGGTTTTCGGGAAAGGATTCGACGTGTCAGTTCGGATTCGCCCTCTGGGGGGGCGATTATGCCGTCGTGGAGCTGTCCTGGGAGTCTCTCAGTCCGACTTGGGGCGATCTGGGGGGGCATCTGAGGCCGTCCTGGGCGGTCGGAGGCCCGAACAGGCCGTAAGGCCGAAGTCCCTCCAGAACCGTTGGATGATCCAAGAAACTTCGCCTCTGGGGGCCATCTTGGGCCTGCCCGGGGCCATTTTGAGGTTTTCTTGAGGCCTCTTGGCAGCGTTTTCGGGCCATTTGGAGAACACACGTACATACATACATGCATGCATGCAGGCAGGCAGGCAGGCAGGCAGGCATGCATACATACATACATACATGCATGCAGGCAGGCAGGCAGGCAGGCAGGCATGCAGGCATGCAGGCATACATGCATACATATACATACATACATGCATGCGTGCATACATACATACATACAAACATGCATGTATACATGTATGGACATGTACATACATACGTGCATACATACATACATGCATACATGCATACGTACATACATCAACATGTGTGTATGCATGTGTGTGATCATGCATGTACCTACATGCATACATACATACATACATACATACATGCATACATACATAAATACATACATACATACATACATACATACATACATACATACATACATACATGCACACACATACATGCATGCATACGTACATACATACACGCATTCAATTATACAGGTATAGACATGTACATACATGCATCATCATGTTTGTATGAATGCATGTGATCATGCATGTACATACGTACGTACATGCACATACATACATATATACGTCGTACCTACATACATATATGCATACGTGTATACGTTCGTGCATACCATACACACATACACACATACACACATACACACATACATGCGTCCATACATGCATACATGCATACATACATACATACACATATACGTACATGCATACATACTCACATACATACATGCATACATGCATGCATGCATGCATGCATGCAAACATACATGCATGCATACATGCATACATGCATGCGGACATACACATACACATACACGTACGCTTTATGGTATCGGGTTATCGATCGCAAGCTACATCTACATACGTCGATCTGATTACGCACGATCTGTCTCACGATCCGTCAATCAAACTGCTTATCTGTCGGCCTCAGTGGCCTTCGGCCGATCCCGCTATACTGTGCTTGGATTGCAGGACAGAGGCCCCTCGCATGCCTGTGCTGATCTCCTGGGGCGCCTCTCGGAGGCCTCCCGGCGGCGGCGTTGGGGTGTCCCTGGCATCGCTCGGACGTGTGCATTCTTCTTTCGGCGAGGACCCTCGAGGAGCATCCTTGACCATTTGGCGGAAAAACCACGCACGAAACCGAAAAAAGCACAGAAAACGAACGTCCGAGCGATGGCCAGTGTCTGGGGCCCTCTCGGGGGCCCGGGCCGAGGGCCCAGGCGGCGGGCCGCGCGCCAGCGCGGCGGCGGCGCCGGGCGGGTGGCCCGCGCTCTCGCCCGCCCCCTCCTCTTTCCGCTGCCTCCTGCCGCGTGTGCTCTGCTGTGGGATTCGTGCTTTCAGGTCCCTCGAGAGAGAGGGGGGGAGCGGGAGAGAGAGAGAGGGGGGGAGAGCGAGAGAGAGAGAGAGAGGGGGGGGGGGAGAGCGAGAGAGAGAGAGGTCGTTCGAGAGGGGGAGAGAGAGAGCGAGAGAGAGAGGGAGGGAGACGCCGGGCGGCCCCCTGGCGGCGGACCGCTCGGGGCCCCTCTGCCCGGCGGCCCCGCCGGCGCGCCGCCCCCGGCCAAGGCTCGTAGGCGCCGGAACTGCGGCGAGCCGGCCCGCGGCCCTCGCGGAGAAAGGGCCGCCGCCCTGCTCTCGCTCTCGGGGGCGGCTAAAGAGTCCGACGAAAGCATCTATACACCACCACCGTGCCAGGCCAGGGCCATCCTGGGCCGTAGGATGGTGTATAGACCCTCCTGGCTCGGCCGGGAGGGCGTATACACCATCCTAGGGCCCAGGATGGCCCTGGCCTGGCACGGTGGTGGTGTATAGATGCTTTCTGCGTAAAGAGGGGGGCGATGGCTGGGGGGGAGGGGATGTCGTGGCGGGGGCCACGAAGCCTTCCCAGGTTTCACGGCGCCCCTTCCTGTTCCAAGGCGTCCCTGCCCCCCCCCCCGTCGGCCGCGCACATGCCGCTGGCCACGATTTGCGCCCCCCCCTCTTGGACACAACCCCTCTCGGCCGCCCCCGACTCTCTGGAAGCCCGACATGAGAACGGAAACAGCGCGTACGAAGAATGCCAGCTGTTCCTGCGCATTTTGGGCAGGATTCGTCGTCGGCATCGCCGCGGGCGTTGTCCATCTGAGGCAGAAGGCCGCCTTCCCAACAGCGGCCGCTGTTGGTTCTGGACAAGATGGGGAAGGCCTTACGGCTGGTGCCGCCAACCCTGAAGGGGGACGACGACGACGACGACGGCGACTCGGACGACGACGTCGACGATGAAGACGACGACGACGACGACGACAAAGACGGCGGCGGCGGCGACGAAGACGACGACGACGACGCTGACGCTCTGGAGCCCGTCTTGGGTCTCTCTTGGGAGTTAATTTGGCTCTGCGGCCGCTCTTGGTTCCGGACGTTATTTCTGCCGTCGGGCATCGTACAATCGTACCGAGGCCCCAACACCAGCACGAACAGCACGACACCTCTGTTCAACGAAGGACAAGGTGGTTGGTGAAGATTCCCTGCATGAGGCACCGTACGCGATGGATGCCTTCAGCACCTGCTGAATGGCCGGACGCACTCTGACCCCACGCCGTTCGAGTGAGGCGGTTTTCCACCATCGCCCCCTTCGTCCTCTTGTCACGAGTGATGAGCGTCCGTCGCCCTGGCGGCTGGCAGTCGACTCCCAACCGCGTCGAGGCTCGAGTTCGCTGGCCCGGTCCTCTGAGCTGGTCACGAACGTCGACGTGTCGCGCCAACCGGCGGCGAGTTCCATCTTCCAGGGGGGCGCGTGGGCATCGGGACCACAACCGGGGGGAGACGGTGCGCGGCTGCCTGTGCGTGCCGACGGCCCTGATCGCTGTGTCGTCCACGTATTTGGTGATGTCAACCTTCAGGAGGGAAAAAAAAAAAACAACAACAAAAAAAACAAAAAAAACAGACACAATTAATCGTCGATCCCCAGAAAATGTGGGAAAATATGGGAAGTGGGGGGGAAGACAAAAACCCAGAAAATATAGGAAAATATGGGGAATCATGTTATTTGTGTGTATTTATTTGTGTGTCCCAGGGCTCCTTCAAACCTTGGCACCTGCACTCGGGCTGGACGAAAGGGGGGGATCGGGAAAGGAGGGGGTTACGAAATCTGCTGCACGCAGCTGGTTTCGGCCCCGCCGCTGGGCCCATTCCTCGACACATGGGCGCCTTCCGGCGCCGGGAGGCACCTGGAAAATCAGCCACGTGAGGGCCGGCGATGGCCCGACCCCCGCGGACGGCCCCGGAGGGAGGCGAGAGATCCCAGAGAAGGCGCCAAGATGCCCGTTGGTACCGCCTGCATCATCCCAAGGAACCAGATCAAAGTGAGCGGTGTAAGACGTGTGTATATATAGTGGCCTTGATATATGGATATATAATATACGTATACATATGTATAAATATAGATATATCTGTATCTATATATACACATGAGCACACAACTCTAATCGTAAGCCTGCTCCAGGCCCAGAAGGCCAGTGATGGAGTGGACGGGCGTGCCCTGCAGAGACTCGTCGTCGCCCACAGCTCTCCAGACCGCCCTCCTCGCTGCTCTTTCCAGGCGCTGCCCAGTCGAACGACCGAGCATGTTGGCCTTCCCACGCCCCGATCTGAGGGTCCATCGCAGCTCCCCAGATCCAAACAGGTGTGGAAAAGAGGGTGAGTGGCTTGGCCCCTTCGTCCTCTCTAGCCACCAGGAAAAGAGCAGGAGCATCGGAATGGCAGGGGGCCATGCATGTCGCACCTCTCAAGGGATCAGTATCTGGGCAAGGGAATTGAGACAGTCGTTACTGAGCCATCCCAAAGAACCGAAATGACAACTATCACCACCAAGCCCAGTCGTCCACTTGTGGCTCCTGCAAATGGTCCTCGACTGGCTGGCCTCGATGTTGGGCAGTAGTCGAGCTTGCTGAGCTCACGTCTCTGCCACTTGATCTTCCTTCCACAATTTTGATAATGACCAGCTCCGACTCTCCAGATGTTCTCCCACTTCGCCGATTAGACCGAGATTCATGATTGGGGGTCAGGTGGCAGCTTGATTTTCTTGACCAAGAGATGGGTTCCTTCCAGGCTTGCTTCCAGTGGCATCTTACGCAAGTAGCCTCCAGATCCAGGGTACGCATCACTGTGCCTGTTGTTGAAGGAGGTCGACCTCACTCGCATCAAATGAGCCTCCCAGTTTGACGCACGCTGCCAGCAGAAGAGTAGCATAGAGTTGAGAACGCCAGCGATGGCGATGGAGCGCTCGCACTTGGACAAGCCAGTCAGCGCGGTGAGGAACATGGTCCCCCAGTTCTCCATCTGCTGCCAGTGGTGCACAGCAGCTTGCAGACGTCGCCGCCATCCATTTCGCAGTTGGCGTCGAGTCTCCTGCTGGTAATTCACCATTTGTTTTGTGGGAGAACAGTTCCTGAGTCGTGTTTGTTTGCCAGGCACAGAGGGGGGGAGGGGGGGGTCTCTTAGACGTACCCTTGCTTCTTCGAAGGCGCGTGCCTTATCTACAGATATAAGGCCGGCGCCTTCCAAGAAGCAGCCGCCTTTTAACAAGCCTTACCCCCTGCCCCTACCCCCTTGCGCGCGCCGCCAAATGTAGCAGTTTCCCCAAGCTCGGCCTCGGGGGGTCCTCGCAGGACGCAGCACGCCAGCTGGCCCACGCCCGCCCGCGGCCCATCGCCAGGCCTTCGCAGAGCCCCGCTCGGCGGTGGGGCTGGACAGCTTAGGAACGAGCTGCCCCACTGCGATCTCAAGAACTGCACAGCCAAGACGCCGAGATAAGGACCGCTGTGGGGCTCGAAGGGGCCCGATGTTCCGAAGGTCCTTCCGCGGCTGTTTCTCTAGCCCTTCTCGTGCACCCAGGCGCTCTTCTTAGCGCCGAAGAAGAGCGTCGCTCCTGATTTAGCGTTCCGCATTTCAGCAGCCAGGCTGTACGATCTCAGGAATCAGGAGGGGAAAAACACACAGACACAACAATTAATCGTCGATCCCCAGGAAAATACAAGAAAGTATGGGAAGTGGGGGGGAAGGCAGAAACCCAGAACATATCGGAAAATATCGGGAATATGTTTATTTGTATGTATTTGTTTGTGTGTCCCAGGGCCCCTTCACTCTAGCCCTTCTCGTGCACCCAGGCGCTCTCAGCGCCAGAAAAGAGCGTCGTTCCTGATTTAGCGTTCCGCATGTCCGCAGCCAGGCTGTACGATCTCAGGAACTGTACCCCGACGTTGGTACTCGTCGGCCCGGGTCTCGCTCCAGCCCGACGGGTCACGCAGCTCAGCCTCTGCGCCCTCGCAGGAGGTGGTCCACGCTTGGTCCAGCTTGTCCTGGCTGTCGCTGTCCACGTGCTCGAGCTTGGGGCACTCCGCTGTCTTGGGCGGCATGATTGGTGGCGGCCACACGATGGGGTACTGCCTGGGACTCATGACCGCCTGGATCTTATATGCAGCCACGACTTATTAGCTCAGCCAAGTCGGTCGATGAGGTCGGTGGGGCATGTTCTCGAAAGATTGAACCTCATCCAAGATCCCAGCCGTGCGGGAGTCCATCCAGAAAAAGTCGATCACCATACTTATGAAGCATTATTGTCCTTGTCTTGTGGACTTGACCCTGCATGTGCCACCTTCGCCCGTCCAGGCCATCACGTGACCTTTGACCTCCTGGTTTCACGGGCTGTCGGCGATGGATTTGGGTTCGCTGTCGAAGCCGTTCATTGTGAACCACGGGATGCGCAGCTCCATGAATCCAGTCGGCAATCGTGTCATTGCTGCATTGGCTGCCCATGGCACGGGCGTACTTGCCCACAGGTACACGAAGAAGAACGCAACACATTTTATGTAACGTACCTCCGAAAGCCACTCCTCCTGCTCCTCTTCCTCCTCCCCTCCCTCCCATCCCTCCCTCCCTCCCTCCTTCCCTCCCTCCTACCCCTGCTCCCTCCTCCCCTCTCTCCCTTTCCCCACATATCCCCTTCCCGTCGCCCTCCTCCCCGTCCCCCTGTTTTTTTGTTGAACCTAATTACACTCCAGGGCGCTCCTGCCGCGTTCAGCGTCGGTAGTTACCGTGGTTGATCTCAAGAATTTCGGTGACGTTGCTTTCAACCACTTCTGTAATTACCGTCGTTGATTGCGGTAGTGTAGTGTCGGTAACCGTGACTGGTGTCAGCAGAACCGCAATTGTTCTCAGCAATTTCGGTGGCTCGGGCTCGGGTTGCGGTTCGGGTTCGAGCTCGTGCTCCCGGCAGCCAGTGCATCTCGTGTTTCGTATGTTCGGCGATTCCGGTAAGGGTATCGCTGCTTTGCCTCAGAGTCATTGAGTGCGGCGCTGCCCGATCTTCGCGAGCTACGCTACCCCCCCCAGGTGCGTGGTTTCGCTCTTCTGCCCCCCCCCCGCCTCTCGGCGTGCAAGCTGCATGGGTCTGGGCGCGTTCCGCCCCCCGCGGCCTTCTCCACCCCCCCTCCGCAGGGGAGCGAAGAATGGCATAAACATAGAAGTTCGGAGGTCCGCGCGGATTTCTCAGATCGGCGCTGGACCCCTTTGGCGGCGCTTCCGCGCGGACCTCCGAGTGTTATGCTCGTGTCACTGTTCTGTACCCTACTCCGCGCCCTCTCCTGCCTCTCTCCTGCTCCTGGCTGTGTGCCCAACCTGGCTCCGAGGTGCCCATCGGCTGCCCCGACCGCGTCCTGGACCCGGGTCGCCGCGACATAAAAAAACGGGTTGCACGGGGAGGAGGAGGCGGTGGAGGCGGAGGAGGCGGAGGCGGATGCGCAGGAGGAGGAGGAGGAGGAAGAGGACCAGTGTAAACCCAAGACTTATCAACGATATTGCAATAAACCTTCCCTCCAAGTTCTCCCTTCATTGGCCCAATATGAGGATTCATTATCACTGCCGGAAGTGCCCCGTTGGAAGACAACCGTTTGAAAAGTCTGATTTGTGCTAGGACACCATTTCTGGAACTTTAACGCCGCGAATCACCGTCAGTGTTAAGTCTTGACGATCCTGAATCATACCAGAACACCATTCTTGGGACTTCAACACCGCGAATAAACGTAACTGTTGTGCCATGACGGTCCGACATCGTACCAAAACACCATTTCTGGAACATTCCCATGAGAGTTGAAGCCGCCGTAAATTTTCACCATAAATTCGCGCGGTGCTGAGGCGAGAGCCACATGTTGAAAAGAGCCGCCTTCCATCCACGAAACTCTTACAAACTTTAAGACGCATGTGGGCAGCTTTGAGTCGAGAGCCACGTTTTGAAATCCACCCGCCTTCCATCCGTGAAACGTCTGCAATGTGTTTGCACGAATTTGCGCGGCGCCAAGGGGAGAGCCACATTTTGAAAACGGCCCGCCCTCCATCTGTGAACCTCTCGCAACTGCTTCGGGCGAGTGTGCGCGGCGGCGAGGCGAGAGCCACCTTTGCAAACGTCCGCCGTCCATCCGTGAAGCTCGCGCAAATTCTCATTTTGAGACCCAAATGCTGTGAGGAAGTCTCAGGCGAAGCGCCCCAGCCCGCCCTACCGACACGCTTCGGGGAGCGACATGGGGGAGCGATTGATAAGGAGAAGGAGGCATGGAGGAGAAGGGGCAGCAGCAGCACCACCACCACCAGGAGGGCCGAGGAGGACGGCTCGCCCCAGACCTCCAGGCGTCGCGGCAGAAGCAGGGGAGGAGGAGGAGGAGGAGGAGGAGGAAGAGAAGGAGGAGGAGGAGGAGGAGGAGGAGGAGGAGGAGGAGGAGGAGGAGGAGGAGGAGGAGGGGAAGAGACGAGGAGGAGGAGCAGCAGCGCGGAGGAGGGAGGAAGAGGAGGAGCAGAAGGAGAAGGAGGAGGAGGAGGAGGAGGAGGAGGAGGAGGAGGGGGGAGGTGCTCCTCCTGGCAGACCACGGGCCTTCCGCCCCCGTTCAGGTGCCCGCTGCAACTTTCTCGCCGACGGAGCAGGAGCTGGAAGTGCTTTGCCGGAACACCCGCGCGTGGTTCGGCCGGCTGAAGACGTTGGCACCTCCCGGAGGGGACGGGGGTTCAGGATCGAGGCATCGGGGACGAGGGAAGAAGTTCGCGAGATTGAAGTGTTTTGGTTTGGGTTCTTATTGTTGGCCCATATTTCTGTTCTGGAAGCCTCCAGGGACCTCCAAAGACTTCCAGGGGCTTCTGGAGGATCGAGGTATGAGGATCAAGCTTGGCATTTGTGGGCCCCCTTGAGCGTCCTCGACGACGGCCAGATCCCCTGTGGAATACTGGCCAGACCGTACCCCATGGCAGAGACTTGGGAGGGCCAATCTGAGCTGGGTCATCCACGCCTCCTTCATCACAGGCCCAAAACATGACCCTGCTGCACTACCCAGAAAAATTGAGCAGAGCGAGACGGAGACGAGTGGAGAAGGATTAGATATTTGTTTTATAAGAACCCTTATCAAATAATCCTTGCGTAATGAATTTTTGTTCAGGAATGCTTACTGGAGGAAGCCTGACTAGAGCATATCCGTACCAAGGAGTCTTTACTAAGATTGACCCCAACTAAGGAGTATTTGATGGAGGACCCCTTCACTGAAAAAATGCGAAGGAATCCTCGGCCAGGAGATCCGGGCGAAGGAATACTTACTAACAAAAGGGGATCCTTGCTAACGGAGTTCCTGCCAAGGAATTCCTCACTTAGGAATAGTGTTAAGGCCTGACGGCCAGTGCCGCCGACCCTGAAGGCGGGACCTCTTCCAGAGCCCCCGTCGGCGCCCCCCCCGCCGGGACCCAGAGGGGGGCGGTGTTCTGACCCGTGGCCACCACCACCCCACCACAGGGGGGACCTCTCTCGATTAGACGTAAGAGTGACCTTTCGCCGGAGTGACCTTTGGTGCGGGCCCAGTGGGGCCCCCCGATCGCCGAACGCGATGCGACAGTAGCGCCTTGCGCGCCTGTGTTTGGTCCCCCCGCGGCCCCCAAGAAGCCGCGCACCAAAGGTCACTCTTACCCAGGGTCACTCCTGCGTGTGGCCGACTCCTCTGGGACCCCCGCTGGCGACACCCCCCGGGGACCCGCCAGGATCCGACGGCGCGGGGTCATGCTGGGGGGGGAGTCCAAGTCTGACGTGGCACCCGTCGGCGGATGCATAGAAGAAGCAGCGCAGTGGGAAGGGATGGGTGGGAGGGGCAGGACGTCAGGTGTGGCGCGAGCGCACCTGGCTCGCCCTCCCCCACTCTCTCTTTTTTGTTTTTCTCTCTCTCTCTCTCTCCCTCTCTCTCCTTCTCTCTCTCTCTCTCTCTATATCTATATATCCCTCCCTATCTCTCTCTCCCTCTCTCTCTCGCTATATATATGTGTATATATATATATATATCTTCCCTCCACCCCCGCCTGGAAGGTGAGAGGGTTGGCCAACCTACGCGAGGTGGGCTGTCCTCGTCGTCGTGGTCGTCCTCGCCGTCAGCGCGCCGCCGTCGTCGTGGGGAGGGGGGGGGCGGCGGGGCCAGGCGCCGACGACGGGTTCGTGCTGGAGCGCGCCGCCGTCCTCGAGCGCAACCGCACTCCTCGGGACCCGCGGGGAGGAGGAGGAGGAGGAGGAGGAGGAGGAGGAGGAGGTGAGGAGGAGTGAGGAAGAGAAGAGGGAGGAGGAACAGGAGGTGGAGGAGGAGAAAGGCAGAGGCGGAGGAGGAGGCGTGCGGCGGAGGGCAGGGGACGAGGAGTACGAAGCGTAGGAGAACGGGGGGAGGAGGGGGAGGGGGAGGAGAAGGAGGAGGAAGGAGAGGAGGGCAAGGACGAGGAGGGGCAGGAGGAGGACAAGGACAAGGAGGAGGAGGAGGAGGAAGAGGAGGGTGAAGAGGGGGAGGAGGAGGTGGAGGGGGAAAGGGGGAGGGGTAGGGGGAAGGGAGGAGGGGGAAGAGGGGAAGGTGGGGAAGGAGAGAAAGTGTGGTAACGCAAAGGCAACAGAAGGAAAAGTACGACGACTACGACGACGACGACGACGACAACGACAACGACAACGACAGTCACGCCGCGGCGGCTGGCGCGCAAAGCACGCTGCCGCACACGCCGATCCCTCAGCCCACCCACCCCCGACGAGCTCCTCCATCTCCGCCACCACTCTGTCCCCCCGCGCCGCTCCAGGTTGCTGGCCGCTCTCCGCCGCTGGTCGTCTGAGCCAGCCTCGACGGGGCACCTGAGCTTTTGTGAGCTCAACGCCAGCGCAGCCGTGGTGAAAAAGGGCACAGCAGCGGCGGCTGGGAAACCACTGCTGGCAGTGAGGGAGACCTCACTGACCGAAAGAGGCCCCATGGGCTAGGAGGCACTGTCCACACGACGGGCGACCGCCCCGTGGCCAGGGCAAGAGAAAAACAGTCCAGTGCCTCAGCAGGGCATACTATCGGGGAGGGCAAATCCTCCCCCGTGCCTGCCGCGCAACCTGTACAGAAAGGTTGGCGGCCCCCTGAGCAACTGTCACCGTAGGGGAGACATCACCCCACGGCCGTGCGACAGGGGGCGAGGACACCACTGGGCAGTGAAAAGGACGGCCACGACGATCACCCTGCGCCTCGGATGATCGCCGCCGCCCGCTCGCGCAGCGCCCGCCGCCGCACCTCATCGTCCACGTCGTCCGCGAAACGGCCGTCGGGGGGGGGGGGCAGCAGCGGCAGCCCCAGCACCAGCAGCTCCACCAGGAACCGCCGCGGCAGGGCGCACCGCCTCCACGGCGGGCGCCGCGCGGCGCACGGGGAGCAGGTCGGCCCAGCTGTCATCCACCAGGGGTGAGGTCGGGGCCACGACGCCCTCGACCTGCGAGCCCTCCAGGACGCCACCGTCCACTACCATGCTGCCGCCGCCGTCGCCGAGGTCGGGCGCGGGGGCGAGCGCCAGCGCACCAGCGCCGCGGCGCCTACGAGCCCGCCGCCGCTGCCGCCGCCGAGGCTCCTGGCCTTCAGGCGGCGCGTGGGGCTGCAGGCGGCCCCATCGCACCTCCACTATCAGCTCCACCATCGGCCGCAGGGCGGGCTGCCCTGCGGCCGAGACGCCCCGGATGCCTCGCTGCTTCGCCTCCAGCGCTTGCCGCGGGCTCGGGCGTGGGGCGCCCGTGCGCCGTCGCGCACCCGTGTCGCGGCCTTCCCTTCGGCGACATCGGCATGCGAAGCGGGACGGCGCGGCCTCGTTCCGTGCCGGCCTCGGCGCGCCGGCTGCTCGACCTCCAGTCGGACGTCCGCAGGCGAGCAATCGGCGGCCGAGCCTTCCGCCTGGGCCGCGGCGTCCTCGCCCCGCTCCGCGGCAGAGGTGCCCTCGGGGCTTGCGCCCCCCTCGTCCGCCTCCGCTCCGCCCAGCTGCTCCTCGACCTCCTGGCCCGACTCCAGCTCGTCGTCTGAGGTGCCCCGCGCCTCCCGTTCCGAGCTCTCCTGCACGCTCTCCGCCGACCCCAGGCTCGTCGCCAGCGAGTCCGCGTCGCCGCGCGCGCCCTCGTCCAGGTGCTCGCCCACGTCCTCGCGCGCCTCGCCGTCCGAGCAGTCACGGCCTCCTCCTTGCCAGGTGCGGATCCGAGCTCTGCCAGCCGCCAGCCCGCCTCCAGGCCCTCCGCGAAGGCGGCGGCCTGCGGCTGCGGGCCCGTCGCGAGCCACGCTCCAGGCGCGAGCTCCGCGGCGAACTGGCCGAAGTCCGCGCCGCCCTCCGAGGGGTCCTCGCAGATCGTGCCGAGGCTGGCTCCTGGCCGACGTTGGCCCCGCTGCCTCGTCTCC